TACATATAGGTACTTTGTTTCTTCTTTCTTTTTGAAAGTTGTGTTCAGCAACACCTATCGATCTGTATAGTAAATCCCTTTCCAACAGGTTTAGCTGGTTTGTTTTATACGTTATGTCAATGTTTGTCGTTTTTGGTTGTCTGTCAGATCTTTTTTTGTTTCCTGTTTTATCATACAGTAAATTTCAGGCACGGATATTATGTCGGTCTACATTTTATTGCTACAGATATTTGTTATACATGCCTGAGAATGCCTAAAAGCAACTGTATGCTTTGGTTAAATGGTAATTGTATCTATGCATTGACGATTCCTCCATAGATAATTGACAATTTTATTTTGAGAGTAGTCAAGGCCCTGCAGAAGATGATTGTTTAAGGTCTTTTCATTCCTGCATCGGTCAGGAGTTTACAAAACATGTAAACAATTGATTTCATTAGGAAAATTAATAAAAGACAAACTAGGTTAATCTATATTAGATAACCAATTATAAAATACCCATTGCTCTTTATGTTAAATTATCCAATGTCAATCATTCGTGAGCCTGAAGTTCAATTAACAGTCATTCCATGTCAACGCAATACATTCTTGTTACTTTTGCTGGAAAAAACACTTCACTAATTAAGTACAAGAGCACAGGGACAAGTTTGGAAGTACAATAACAGGTATTTCGAACCTTGCTACAGTTATATGTTTTTCTGGTTCAACTTCGTACGATATTTGTATTATTGCTACTATCATTCAACAAGGGTTTAACAACGATCCCCAGTCCTTCAACTTCTATTTGACACTAAAATCACCCACATGGTTTATATATATTAGAAATGACAGCTAAGCGTAAGAACTAATTTGTTTGATATATGGACTACTTTCTTGTGTGTTCTTTATTACCAGAATTGAGTTAGTGGTGTCATACCATATTGTCAGCTTTATTCGATATCAACGTGTTTTGATTAAAAAATATTTAAATGCATGGATTGATTGGTATCTTTAATGTTTTCCAACAAATGTATGGAAATGATGCTAGTCACAATTCAATGTATCATGTACACTCAACCTAACCAATTTAAAACACCCAGCATAGATCAATGGGTATTTGAACTGTTATCTTTTCAACAAGCAGGATTGAATCAGTCTAGTACCAAACTCCGTTAATAATCGTATCACATTACATTTACTCGTCCCAACTGTGTATGCAATTTTTGCCACTCTACGTAAAACAGTCACCCATCAATAACTTACGCGTTTTTTGGCTCGTGACATAAATGGTATCTATACAAACCTTGCAAAGATACTATTTGTGAATGGGAAGGTCAATATTGAGTAAAGGTAGTCATCGTTTCGTGTTTCAAAACTTTTTCCCAATTGTTTTATGCCGCATTTGCTTACATCACTGCACAGTATACTGTCAATTATCTGTGGTAAAAACAAATAAAAATTCCAGAGTGATGTCAAACAATCCTTGATAGAACCGAAATTTAAAAATCAAAAGACTGCATCAGCACATGCAGATATCTTAGTAAGAAACTAGTTATGGCAACCTGCAACGCTTTGATATCAAATGATTACACCTGAGATCAACCCCAGTTTTTGTTGGGGTTCTTGTTGCTTAGTCGTTAGTTTTCTATTATTTGTCTGTTTGTCTTTTTTCTTTTTTAGTCAGTTTATTTTCGATGTATGAGTTTGAATGTCCCTCTGGTATCTTTCGTTCCCCTTTTACAAAATATTCCCGCGGAAATTCCTTTGGTGTCTATCGACTCAAACAGTTCACAATTAAACTTAGATTGATTTTTTGCTAGATTAAAAATGCAAGGTATATCGACACAGGAAATAATATCATTCAATAGAAATAATTAAAAGAAGTTTAGCAGTTGTAATTTGCAAAATGTTATTGTAAAATATAAAGACTTAGTGAGGTACCTGCAGTAATTCTTTGAAGTTCAAATGGAAATCTTCTTCAACAGATTGTTCATGAAATCGGTTGTTACATATAAGAATCAAATTTGAAGGCATGTCTAGTGGCTCTGCCAATTTCCGACAGTGGAATGGAATTATGTTTCCAGGTTAGTTGGTTCGTCAGTTCATCTCTACGTCTGTTATATCGTTCGCCGGTCCGTTCAATATCTGTTTGAATTTTTGATTTGTTAAAGCCAGAAACCTGAACACATTTTCATTATGATATTAACTTTTATAATTGATACCGAAACACAATGTCATCCTTTTTTTTTTTATAGTTCTCTGAACATGTGAAATAGGTACATTATCATGTTCAATTTATTCGCAAAAGGAATTCACAATTACGTTGTAGTGACATCATTTTGAATCTTTATACAAATGCTCATTATTATTTTGCCTACCATATATATAACGTGTTGTTTTCATTTTTAACATCACTGGGTCGATACCTCTGCTGGTGGACTATCATTCCCCGAGGGTATCATCAGCTCAGTAGTCAGTGCTTTGGTACTTATATGATGTATAACAACCCTTTCTAAAATTGTCTTTACAAATTATGAAATTATAAAAAAACTAAGTTTTCAACTCCCTCAGTCAAAGTTGGCCTTAGATGGATTTGGCTATTGTATTAGATTAATTTTTGTCATATAGTTCTTCAATTGTTTCAGTTCTTATAATTCCTTGGCTTTGAAATATTTGGCTTTGAGCGTTCCTGATGAAGGCAAATCCAAGAAAAGCGCATCGGACGTATGAATTAATTTAACGTGTTGTTTGTCTTTTGTACTATATCAATGCGAAATTATGGGATTAACATCATTAACACTGATCAAATTAATATAGTGCAATTGGGGTACAGTGTCATTTCGAAACACATTCTTATATTTAACTTTTAAAATTTAAATATTGATATTTCATTTTCCACGTGTAGAATGAAGGCAACAGTAGTATACCGCTCTTCAAGAGCCTTAAATCGATTGAGAAAAAACAAATTCGGATTAGAAACTAAAACCGAGGGAAACGTATCAACTATAAAAGGGAAAACAACGAAAAAACAGAACACTGAAGTGCAACAAAAACAAACGACAATGCAACATACATAGGAACGAACTATTAGATAACAACTGCCATATTCCTGACTTGGTACAGGACATTTTAAGAAAGAAATGGTGGGTTGAACCTGTTTTGTGGCTAGCCAAATCTCCGCGCTTTATGGCAATGTTAAATATACCGTTAAAATGACAACATTGCATGTCGGGAACACAGCACAAATAAATGCAAGAACACCCAAGACAGAGAAATACATAAATAAATAATATAATAGTATATTTCGACATGTTAACCACAGAATAACAACGAATACCTTAATCATTCAAATTTAACTTTATAAGATAATTTAATATTATTCAATTTTCTGGTGTTTTAACAAAAAATATAATGATTGTGCCCAAACAATTTGTTATTTTGCAAAAGGAAAAGAATAGAAACATTTGTAATGAGAATGCATAATACAAATTTGCCCTTCTTTCTATTGTTATCATAACAGTTTAAAAATTAAGATTGAAAATTAAAATTAAAAAAAAAAATCCATTCTAACAAAAAAAATTAACAACAATATATATATTACATTCTACAGAACCTAAGGGCGAAATTGAGCATTTGCTAAAAAAATAACTTGTAATAAAAACAAATTTAGGAATGGTTATAATGCATTGCACTTCCAAAACATTCAGAAAAGGAAATACAATAATTTTACCTATCAATCATCAGTTAAAAATACTTGAAAGCATTGTTTTAACGAAGAACAGAAAAACGGCAAAAATTTTAATGGAAAAAAAAATATATCTTTATAGAATTTAAGAAATAGGTTTAAGTCGGTGAGTTTTTTTTCACGTAAGAAACAAATGGCCGTATTCAAATTTGAAACAACGTTCTGATTTTAAATGTTCATTGATTTTTGATTTGATACAGCTGGTTTGCTTAAAGCTGTAATAATAAATTGTATTTAGACGAAACGCATATCTGGCGTATTCAATGATAAACCTAATACCTTGTATAGTTATTGTATCGATTATTTCCATATTTAAGTAGTGGCTGGTTAATTTCAAATATATTTAAGTTTTTTGTATAATGTCTCGATTTTGAAATGTTTTGTGCTTAAACATTATCACCCTTCGACATCCAAAATCGCCTTGGTGGTATATAGATAACATGCTCACCCCTAAAGGTATGCTAAAACAAATACCTGAAAACAAACAGTCACTTGTAACTGGTTTAATTTGCTTCACTCACGAAGTATGTAGCAATAAGATTGCTCATAGCTTTATGTTAAAACAAAACATATTTATTTGGCGATATGTCTCTATGCAGATATTAACCATATTAACGAGCATTTGAAGAAAAAAAGAATCCGACTCGGCTTGTCGGTGTAGTACAAAGTAGGGACAATCATTTTAAGATGACATACTTTAAAATACACAAGCGTTCAGTCCTAATCACCAAACAGCTTGATAAAATATATGGAAAATTGAGTTTGAAGTATCAATAACACATATACTAGGTATAAATACTGTCAATCAAAGTTATCGCGAACATTTTTGCTCTCGGTGTAATCAAGCTTACAATTATATTCAGTACGAAAACCGAAGTCTAGTATGACATGTAAATACAAGACTAAAGAAAGAACTATTGATTGTTTACATTGACAACAGAGGATGAGCAAGGAATATGGACGAACAAAATTGTTTGCCAACAGCGAATCAGTTAGGGCAAGTAGTTTTTCTTCATTAAATGTACGGTATTGTCCCTCATTGTTTCGTGTTATCCAAATGTCGTCAGTTTGGAATCAGTTTGAAACTCGTTTTAGATTGTCCATGGGTTTTTCACTTACGCCATTGCGTTTAAAACAGTATACAGCCATATATGATTGTATAGACTAAAGAAACGACAACCATATGATTGTTTGATCGACTAAACATGTTAACCACATTAGGCTTTCCCATATTGACTTCAGTTTTGTGATAACAATAAATTTTCATTGGATGCATCATCGGAAGGGCGTGTAGTAATATGAAAAATCATGTTTTTGTATATAAGAACTTTATACTTGAACATTAGACCACTTAAGGATAAATTATCTATCATCTGTAAATGTACATACAACTATATGCACAAAGACAATAAAGATCATTGAGGTATTTGCTAAATGTCAAATACGATTTTGAACTGTTATATCATATATGATTACAACGTATTATGACAATGGTTGAAAATTACTCGGTACACCAGAAACATCCAGACATGCATACATTGATAATTTAGTCTGAGATGCATGATTTTCTTTCATTAGTTGTTAGTGGCTTTGAACTAGCTGGCTGCCAGTAACTGCGAGTATTCTTAGATCAGTACTTATTGTCTTTTTGTTGTTGGGATATACAAATACCCGGCCACGTCCACTATGTTTTTTTGCTAGGTGTATTTCTATTTGTATCCACCTGATGATTTAAGACTTTTTTAACTGATTTTTATAGTTCGTTCTTATGTTGAACTGTTACACCACTGTCTCAGGTTAAGGGAAGGGTTGATATCCCGCTAACATGTTTAACCCCGCCACATTCTGTATGTATGTGCCTGTCCCAAGTCAGGAGCCTGTAATTCAGTGGTTGTCGTTTGTTGATGTGTTACATATTTGTTTTTCGTTCATTTTTTGTACATAAATTAGGCCGTTAGTTTTCTCGTTTGAATTGTTTTACATTTGTAATTTCGGGGCCTTTTATAGCTGACTATGCGGTATAAGCTTTGCTGATTGTTGAAGGCCGTACGGTGACCTCTAGTCGTTAATTTCTGTGCCATTTTGGTCTCTTGTGGAGAGTTGTCTCATTGGCAATCACACCACATCTTCTTTTTTATATATTCATTAAACTTTTTAACCATTGAATAATACCTAAAAATTTAAACTTTGGGAAAGCTTTGATATAATAAGACACATTTTTCTTCAAAGAAAATTACACTACACCGTCTGATGTTGAGCAAGACAGTTGTTGTTTAGGACGTACAAGACAGTTAACCAATTAACTAATTACATTTTATTAGATAATCTAATTTCAATTATCAGATATAAATCATGAAAGAGGGGCGAAAGATACCAGAGGGACATTCAAACTCATACATCGACATGACAAATTACTATAACTCCACTTTTTAATTGGCCAAAACTGAACCCGAATGGAGGCAACATATATTGGGCTTCTGATGGATATTTTGTACGTATTTAGGTTTTTACCATTTTAAGTTGAGGTATCATTACATTGATTAAAATCATAAAATAAAATTCTGTCCGATAAAATTTGGTAAAAAAAAAAAAAATTCAACAAGGAAGTTATTGTACTTTTTTTACAAATCTGTGATTCACGTTTTCCTGCATTAAATGCTGATTTGGAACTGATCTATTTCGATTTGATTGTCTAGCACTTGACACTTGACATACATTTGTTGGTCAAATAAGTTTTTTTAACGAAGTACAGGAACAAGGAAATCATTTTAACGCTAACAAATTTGTGGTAACTTAGGTTGTTTTTAAAAGAGAGGCGTTGGATACCAAAGAGACATTAAAACTCATAAGTATAAAATAAACTGATAACGCCATGGCTAAAACAAAAACGACAAACAGACAACCACCAGTCCCATAAAACAACATAGAAAATCAAAGACTAAGCGAAACGAACCCACCAAAAATGGTGTTGATCTCATGTGCTCCGGAATGGTAAGCAGATCCTGTTCCACATGTGACACCCGTCATGTCACTCATGTCATTGATAAGTGTAATTTAGAACTTCACTTTCGGTGAAAAGGGGACATGATTGTAGTTGCAACAATTAGAACATATCCGTCCGTTTTGTGTAAAGCGGCCTATCTATTAAGGTTAACTAACTCTAGAAGGCGTCAAAAGTGTCTCTTTGTGTTCATATGTGAATTAGGCTATACGAACATATCTGAATCAATTACAATAAACAATAAACTCACTTGATCGTTAAGAAGGAAGTAAAATTTAAAAGGCCGCTGATTTAAAAATTAAATTTATCATTCAGTAGTACACAAGACAAATTACTTTTGAGTTCTACTCGAAAAATCAAAAATTGTACAAGTAGCTTTCATTCATTAATGTGTTGTGTTATTAAAATCAAGGTTTTATTTACAATTTTCAGGATGGCGTTTGATTTAACAAACGGAACTTATACCAGTTTGAGTGAAATAGAACACAAAAGATTTCTGGACCAAGGGATTCCAGCTACAGTATGCCTTAGTTTCTTGTGTATCATAGGAACAATTGGAAATATACACATGATATTGATACTCAAGATATCGCCAGTCATGGCAAAATATTCGATTCGAGTTTTCATCATTTTGCTTTTTTTAACTGATCTTATAGCATGTTTTTATGCCATTTGAAATTTATAATATTCGATACAGCTACACCACATCTACCAGTGGTTGCAAATTCTTCATGGTCCAAAAGACAAACAGACTCATAATAGTACACAAAACACAACATAGAAAACTGAAGACTAAGCATCCCAAACCCCACCAAAAACTAGGGGTGATCCCAGGTGATCCGGAAGGGTAAGCAGATCCTGCTCAACATGTGGCACCCGTCGTGTTGCTCATGTTACAAATGTATTACAAACTAGGTAAATAGTCTAACTTGGTAGGTCATATTCGTGAAAAAGGGAAGAGGATTGTAGTTATGACATAAGAAACATATCCGATATCATCTATGAAATGGTTATTCCATAACGATCACCCAACTCGTAATGGCGTCCGTAAAAATCTACGAAGGGATGATTTCAAGTAGAAACACACACAATGGTTCCATTTTCATTATTAATTTACTTTTCCTCACGTTTCTTAGTATATTGTTGTAAATCGGTAAGTATGTCACTAATTCAGTTTTCTTCGTCTTTTACGTCTATTTTAAAATTGTGATCAATAACGTGAACAGCAAATGTTTGCCTACAACTAAAACGCTTTGCCCTATTAGAATAGTAATAATTCATGGGTGCTTGAATTTATATTGATTTTACCACGGGTTTGGCACTTTTACCGATACTTAACTCCTTTTTATTGGTCTTGGTAAAATATTAAGCATAAAGGGCCAACCCGTGATAAAATCAATATATTTTCCTGCATCAAAAGAAACTTTTTCAATTATAGTATAATCTTCGTGATGAGAACACAATGAATTCATCGTCACTTGGTATTTTGTATTAAATTCTCTCTTTTCCATTCATAAATTAAGTCCGGTTTTTCTGAACTAGAGGTATTTTTATTTCTGAAAATTTGTTTTCACATGTGTTTTAGTATTTATTTTGCCTTTCGTCCCACAAATCTTTTCTTATATTTGTTTTATTTCACAACTAAGCTTTAATTAAAATCATATTTATTCTCTAGATATCTTCTGTAAGGAATAGTTAAACCAAGTTTAATCCACCATTTTCTACATTAGAAAATGCCTGTACCAAGTCAGGAATATGACAGTTGTTATCCATTCTTTTGATGTGTTTGAGCTTTTGATTTTGCCATTTGATGAAGGACTTTTCCGTTTTGAATTTTCCTTGGAGTTCGATATTTTTGTTATTTTACTTTTACTTACTCAATATATCTAAATCCAGATAAAAAAGAAGATGTGCTATGATTGCCAATGAGTTCACTATCAATACGATCACATGTAAATGATAACATATACTAAATGACGTATATCTAAGCATCTAAATTAAGCAAGGATTTGATATCTGCCTTAATTGTATGGCGGCGCAACTAAATTTAGTAAGGAAATGATGTCTGCCTCAATTCTATGGCAGGGGTATTTTGTCAGATACATTCTTATGAATTACGTAAGCTTTTTTAATGCTTTTGCTAAAACAGTGAAGTGATACATGTAATGAAGAAGGTACCTTGTGTCGTTGATGAGCTGCCAGGGTCATTACAGAATTGATTCAAAGCTAATCTGTCTTGTCCTTGAAAAAAATAAATAGCTTGGGAATTAAGTCGACTTGAATTAGCTGTCAGTAACTTCGAATACTCTCAAATATGTACTATTTTGTTGTTGGGATGTATACATATCCTGCCACGTTAGGTCTGTGTTTTTTCTTTCTGTTTTGCATCGATCTTTTGAATTAAGACCCGTACAAGTGATTTTTATAATTTGTTCACCACTATCCCAGGTTAGAGTCAGGGTTTGGCGCAAAGAAACTAGTTTAACCCACACAACTGTATGTGACTGTCCAAAGGCAAACGCCTGTATTTCTGCGATTGTCGTTGGTTGCGGTATATCATTTTAGTTTTTCGGGGTTTTTTTTGTACATTAATCAGGCCATTAGTTATCTCGTTTGAATTGTTTTACATTTGTCATTCCGGGCCTTTTATAGCTGACTATGCGGTATGGATTTTTCTGCAGGCCGCACGGGGAGTTTTAGTTGTTAAATTCTATTTGAGTTGGTCTCTGATGGCGAGTTGTCTGATTGGAAGTCATCCCACATCTTCGTATTCTATATTGAAATTAAGATGACAGACAAACTTAATTAAGTTTGGCAATTTATTTCCGATATTCTTATCACCCTGACTTGATTAATAAGATGTCTTAAAATGTTCTAATTGATTAAACGTATTGAGTGTTTTCAACCAATTTTATGGAAATGATGAATTCTCCAAATTCTTCAATTTTAAAGCCACTCAACATTAACAATTTCAAACTCATCCGTCTAAATCACAGGGAATTCGGAGCCATGACGGCCAATTATTTATTGTCCTAATGGAGATAGTAATAAACGGGTTGTTAACGAAATTGGAAAATGTAAACTAAGGCAACAGTATGTTCCAATCTTATAAATAGATAACAAAGATACAAATCAAGGCAACAACCAAAAACTCAGAGAATCGCATGAATTCCAGCCAGAGAAGAGTTAGACCGAATGCATCGACAGGACAAGTGTCTCACTTCTGCTTGCACCAACAGACATGCAAATCCATCCACACTAGATCAAAATGTCATAAGCGGCAGGTAGACACAATCTGTCAAATTTTAAATCAGTCGACTATACTGGAACTGAAGAACTGCGAAAACCTTTCGTAAGTAAATTGAGAAACAGTTACATCGTTTTGGACAAAAAGTAAAATTACAAAAATACCGAACTCTGAGGAAGTTTTAAAATGGAAAGTCCCTTATCAAATGGCAAAATCAAAACCTCAAACACATCAAACGAATGGATAACAACTGTCATAACTGACAAAAAGCGACTGAAGTGTAAATATCAATCGTTCTTCTTCATAACTCTGTTTGATAAGGGAATTTCCTTTTTATTTTCGTTGGAGTTTTGTTTATTGTTAATTTTAATTTTATCACACAAAGTATCAAATCAATTCCCTAATCATGGTTAAACATTACAGTTTATGATATGTTACAATCATCCCTTAAAGTAACCTTAAAGATTTCCAAACCTACTGTGTGAAGTTTTCATTTTTTCTGCGTATAAACACTTCTTGTCGCTTTCTATGCGTGCTCAAAATATGTTTTGTCTTATTCCAATATTCTTATGATGAATACATAATCTTTCAATCAGTTTAATTGAGGTCTGCAGCTGGTATGCCTGTAACTTCTAGTATTGCTTTGTTAATTTATGTACCATTGTCATTTTGCTTAGTTTCTTTTGTTACCTATTCTGGCATAGGACTCAGACTTCTTTTAAACTTAGTTTTACTGTGCGTATTGATGTGTGTTTGTTTTTTCTACATTAGTACGATGTATAGGGGGAGGGTTGAGATCTCACAAAACATATTTAACCTCGCCGCATTTGGTCGGGTTGTAGTCTCTTTGACACATTTCCCATTTCCATTCTCAATTTTATCACTAAATAACAAAATATTTTATTGTTCAATTTTTCTGTTGTTTCCTCATACAAAAGTTGTCGACAGAATATAGAATTTTAAAGCAAGAAAAAATAGAAATATTTGTTTCAAAAAAGACTGATATCCTTGATAGTAACTTGATCGATTATTTTAAGTATTGGCTTGTTAATTTTAAATTGATACAAGTTTGGATTTCAAAATGTTTTGTGATTCCACAGTTACTCATTCTTTAACATCTTTAATAGCCTAGTCAATCGCAAATATGTTTGCTCTCTGTGTAAATCAAATAAATATATTCATACCAATGCTGAAGTCCAGTAGATAATGTTACATGTCTAGACATGACTAAGGCAACTACGATTAGATAACAAAAAAGATGCACAATGAGTATGAATGAACAAATTTGATTGCCACTAGAAAATTATTTGCAGTAGTAATCATGTATAGTATTAGGAATAATCCAATGAAATGATTGTACTTAATTCACTTATCTATTTGCAGCAAGAGCAACTCATCTTCGAATTTCACTTTTAAGGCACAAATCTACGATTACATCTTACGGAGCATATGTTGTCACTTCCCTTTTTTGGTGTAGTTGTCCATTTGAGGACATGTGCACTTGTAAAATAAGATAAAACTTTATATAAGTACATCAATGGTGTAAGATTCACAAGACTGAGCAATAGACCGATGGACAAGCAAAATTATCTATACCTCATATTCATTGCAAAAGCGTTACCTGAATAATTATATATAATGCTATAAAATAAATTTTAAGTCTCTAATCAAAGAAAACTGAAATGTTAATTCAGTAACAACATCTATTTCAGGAATAGCTAAACTAAGCTGTATTTGGAAAAAAAACATTTAGGAATTTGGGGTCTTCAGTGGTCTTCACCATCGTATTTCATTTGGTCTTTTTAAATTTTGTGATTCGAGCGTCAATTATGAGTCTTTTGTAGACGAAATGCGCGTCTGGCGTACACAATTTTTAATCCTGGTATTTATTTTGAATTCATTTTATTGCAACAGAATGGTATTTGAAATAACACTGTGTCATACAGAATATCATGATTAAACACCATATTCCGTTATAGAATCTATTAAGATAACACCATTGTAGTAAACAAAACAAGAGACCCTGGTGCTAAACATATTTGGGGAGAACACTGTGTCACTATCTATTTGAAATTCAGTATCTTCTTTATTCTTCTCAATTAGGGACATTACATATAATTATATTCAATTTATTTTGATACCGTGTAGTGTGGCCTATACTCCTCTGTAGAATTGAATAAATAATGTCAATAATCCTTCACTTTCGTCCAGAATGATGATACATATTTTCCCTTTTTAAAGCATAGCCATGATTTTCACTGCGAGAGCAATTTCTTTTTTACTTGTTCCAAATCGACGGCGAAAATCGAAGGTTTATTAGATACATAAATAATGTTTCATGCATTAGGTAATATATGCAACATCATTGGATTTCTTCATAAACGTGTTTATCACCAGAAAGGCGTCCACTCAGTTGGTCTTACTTTGAGAATTAATCTAAGCATCAAGAAGCATTCTGGTTAAAAGCATGGCATTTTTTTTTACAACAAGTGATGCATGT